AAACAGTGGATTCTTAATCACCTCAGGAGGTCACTCATCACCCCTATCACTAGGTGTCCATTTGGCTGCCTATATGCAAGACTCACCTTTGGAAAACAAGAACAGGAGTAAATTGATTAAGATAGAATGAACTTACACTGGGCTTTACTGTTTTACAAAAGACATCTCAAAAATTTTACCTTCTCATCAATAGAATACTATGAAATAAATGCTGCAATTATTTTATAAACAAGGAATTTGAGGTTGAGAGATTCCTAAACACTGTTAATGTAGGACTGGAAATATGGATTCACACTTAAAATACCATCATTCCCCTACTATAAATTATCTATCACCCAACTTTTCTTTATCAAATTACTTTTCTTTTCCCCATAGGATTTATTGTCAACTGAAAATATTTTGTTAGATTGCTTTCTTATCAGCTATTTTGTTTCATCCTCTTTATGAGATGTTAGGTCCACAGAACAGCAGACTAGACCAGCTTGTCCACTACACCTTCTACATAGCTGGGCTTCGACACATCACGGTGGGAAACCTGGTTACTTTCTCCAACTCTGTACCACAGTGGGGGCTAACAAGTGCAGTCAATGGCTCAATTTCCATCCACCCACTGTCTTAGTGAATGGATATTAACTGAAGCCCAGTCATGTTGCTTGACTTAATATCATCTCTTATTATTTCTGTGCTTTAAGAAGGAATTGCTTTGCTGTAGCAGAAATATAAAATATTTCCCATTTGGCCCTTTGTGGTAAAAGATTGTTGGCCCCTGATCCTCAAGAATCAAACAAAGGTTGCAGATGAAGAAAAGAAATATTTAGCAAGCAGGACAGTTGCTATAAACAGGTTACAGCTGTTTCAATAACATACACTCATTAAGTCGGATTAATGCAGCTATTTAGCATGAAATGCATGAGGTAATCAATACTATTGTGTCTGGGGCCTAAAAAACAAACGATGAAAGTATGTCATTGATTACATATCCACCAACACTATCAATATTTACCTTTGTGCAGGTAAATGCCAGCAAGATAAAGGTTAGCTATTCCATATGAAGAATTAGGTTTTCGGCCAATTCTCAATCATTCTGAGACAGATTAATAAGGGCTTGGCTGTACTTTTTTTCTTTTCTCCTGATTTCTGCCTTTAGGGTGTTTCACTTTTTCTTCAGTTTTCCAGGAGGAAGTGGGAGGGAGGGAGGGAGAGAGGGAGGGAAAGGAAAGAATCATCCTTTAATCTGAGTGCTTGTAAATCTTTCTGGAAAAAAGGCAATGTGGAAAAAAAAACCCCACAGAAAATGAATAAACACTTTATTTTTAGATTTCTGTGTAGATTGCAATTATCTATATGCTCTAGGTTAATAATAGCTCAGAAAATCCAGAGCCATTTGGAGATGACAGGAGCTTTGTTTGTATGCGAGATCATCAGAAATTTCCTTCTTACTTAGATATATAACAAGTATATAAAACAACCAATGAACAAGAATATGCTTTGCTATTTTAAGAAATGTGAAACCAACTAGAATTTCAACTTGGAAGGGAATTCTAGAGGGAATATAAGTGGGACTTTGAATGTTGGACCACCAAAAATATTACTGTACCTTAGTTTTGCAAATTATGCTTTCGTGTTTTAATATTGCTTTTCTAAAATTTTACTTTGTTGGGGCAACATGAAGTCTACCCTTAAAATATTTGTTTGCAATACAATATTGTTTACTGCTGGAACAATGCTGTACCACAGAACTCTAGAACTGATTTATTTTGCATAATGAAACTTTATAGCAGTTGATTCAGACCTTCTCATTTTCCTTTCTCCCCAGCCAGACAACCATTATATTCTTCAATTTCATGTATTTGCCTATTTTAGATACTATGCATAAGTGAAATTATCCAGTATTTGTCCTCCCAAATTGGTTTATCTCAATCAGCACAATATCTTCAAGGTTCCTCCACAGAGTCCCAGATACCAGATTATCCCCCTTTATAAATGCTGAACAATATTCCATTGTATGTATAAACTGCATTTTCTTTATATATTCATTCATCACTACACATCCTGCCCATAGTGAACAGTGTTACAGTGTTTCTGACTTAGACATGTGCCTTATACTCTGTGCATTTGGCATGGTCAGGCTCTTCCCACTTCTTCCAATCCTATAAAACAATTATTACATCAACAAGTACCTTATGGTCAGCAGCACCTTCAAAGCAAGCAAATACATTTTCCCTGGAAACCAAAACAGCATAGGGAAAATCCACTTTTCATGAACTATCTTCTCTTGATAGGATATAAAGGGACCCAGAAGGAGGGTATGGATTTCCTTATAAGCCCGGACCTCCCAGGGGTGTTCTCTCCTTCCTTGTCCCTGCAAAAGCAGAAACAGCACTCCCGGAGGAAGACACAGCCAGATCTCTTGCAAACAAGGCCTCTGATTCTCCTTGCCAACTGGTCTCTACCTTAGTTAGTTATGGGTTTCCTTCCCAGGAGCTATTTGGCTTCCAAAAGCCTACCAACTTCATTTTAAAACAAAAAGGCACCTGAGACTGTGCCTTGTTTTCCAAACAGCCCATTATCCAGTGGCCTATTGCAAATTAGTTGGGGGAGAATCTGTGCTGAGAGATAAATCTTTCGGTGACATTTCAAGACCCATCCTTAGCCAATTAGAACTGGCACTGTGACAGCAGTTTGAGAGCACACATTCCAACCATGTCGACCTCCTGAAGTTCCAACCTCGAAGCAGATCCGCAGTGTCCTGATGGGAGAACAGGTGTGTACACTGGTGGATAGCAGAGCAAACACAAACTGGGTTTGCAGCTGATAGGAGAGTGGACTGAAGAAATAAAGAAGAGGACCACAAAGTGCTGATGTAAAAAAGGGTTTCAGGGGAGGAACAACTCCTTGGTCACAGCATTTGCTTTGGTGCCTGAATGTACACCTTGTGCCACACAGGAGCCCAAACTACTAGACAGCTGTACTAATGGTGCTGAATTTGAAAACAGAACTGACCTTAATGGGTGGCTCCAGGAGGTTTACCTTGGAGTTTCAGCTTCCGGTTTTTAAAGATTACTTCAGGTCAGGACCCTCTGAATCTCTTCCCATGTTATTTAAGTGGTCGTATATCCCTCAATTATCTTTCTGGAGAAAAAGTGAAGCCATTTCTCCCTTTTACAGTATTCATGGCTTGTCAGTTCCAAAGCTTACTTTGCATTCTTACTACTAACACAATGCTGTGTTGGGCCCATTTACATCTCCAAATCATCACACACTGCTTCCCTAAGCCCCACCACACTCCTAAGGATAATAAGCACCCCTACTCCCACTCTTCTAGCTGACTGAACTGAGACCCACGGAAGATAATTCCCATGCCCCAGTTCTCCAAAATAAAACAAAATAGTTTATTCTTATGGGATTTCCCTTCATAAATGAAAAATGCTTCAGTCTGGTCCTTTGTTTTTAATAAAGAAGGGCTTTAATTTGTAAACCCTTAGCCTAGAGAACTGCCAGATTCTGTTTTTTAATGCCAATGACACAAGACTCCAGTGGTGTGCAGGACAGACAGAGCCAGCCCATCTCCCAGCCGCAGCTGCCGGCCGTGCTCAGGAGGGCTGAGCTCATAAACCAGCCTCATTTTTCAGAAATGACACCATCTTCAGATCTGTTCGGATCTGGCCAGAGAGGAACTTTATGTAAGTGTTTGTCAAAAACTTGTTCGCTCAGAAGAGTTCCCAAGAGAATACCTCTATTCTGCTCAACAGTAAAATAAAAAAGCTACCCCTCCCCATGATGCAGACACTCTGCAGTGATGAGGAACTGCAACAGTGGGGAAAAAAAAACCAGAGATCCACGGAGATGGCTGTGGGTCTCTCCTGGGAGGTGGTGGGGGATCTGGGCACGCGGCATTCTCCCATCGCAATAGGCCTCCTGTCTTCCGTAAAACTAAAAATACAGATGATAGCAAGAAAGATTTATCTGTGTCTGAAAGGAAGTTCTGACATTACCAGAATGGCATCTCTCCAGCAAGTCTGCTCTTTCCTTTTCATTCACATCTCCACTTAGTATTTCTCTGAAAATATAGCTAAAGGGAATGATTCTTTCTCCATGGTTCACAACAATAAGATTTCCCAAGCTAGCATACACTCCCTCAAAATTTGGTTAGTTAATTACTCACCAACAGAAATACCAAACGCAACCATCATTTTCATGCATATGTGTTTGAGAACCCTTATTGTTCTAAGAGACTCCTAATTATATGTTTCTTCTGGTATCTACTCTCTACCCCTCCCTACTTCCCTACGGGAGACTGAGTAACACAATCAAAGAAGATTCTAAAGAGGCTTGTCATATCCTGGGGTTTACAAGACATGGTATTCAAAGGCAGTGATGTTAATATTGTTTTACAGTATGCTGACTGCTTGGGGGGTTGGCAGCCATCTGCGTGTGTTAACCCCTTTCAAAGTCAGAGGAAAGGTGGGGCTGGCTCCTTCATGTAGTTATGCTCCCTGCCTTAGCACTCTGGCTCTGTCCACTCATTTTGGGGCCAGCAGGTTCCATTTTGTTATTGGGACACAGCCTAGCAGGTCTGGTACAACAAGCACCTACTGATTCTGCCTTGGCCAAGCCCTATGAGAACCATTTTCAACAGCCTTGAATTCTCCAAGAGTGGATTCCAGGATGCCCAGGGACACAGGGACTTCAATCACAGAAGATTTTACTGGAGTTATAATTCAGGATCTTACACAGACTATTGCTACTGATGGGTGACCTGGTCCCCATTCATTTCATTATATATCAAATGTCAAGGCAACGTTTGTGAATCTGCTGAAAGCTATGAACTCTAATTCCAGAAAATATATTTGTACTTTTCTCTCTCTCTCTTATACACACATACTACATACTCACTATATAGTTCCAGGAGGCTCAAGGATAATTTGAACCTTATTCAGATTCACCAGCCCCAAGTAAACAGATCTTGGTGATTTTCTTGTTCTTCAAATGATTTCCTTACTGTCCTGGAAGCATTGGCCCACTTTGTCCTTGTTTAAGTTTTACTCCACACATATGCATCCAGAACTTACAGGTAAGCACTGTGATGGCCAGGTTTCTGCATGAGCTCAGCTAAGATGTCCAATTGTTCAACCAAATACTGATCCAGATGTTGCTGTGAAAATGTTTTGTAGAAGTGATTAGCCTTTGAAAGCAAACTGATTTAAGTAAAGGAGATTATTCTACAAGTGGATAAAGATATGCTTCATCGGGTCAGTTGAAAGACTTTAAGAACAGACCTGAGACTTTTAGGAAGAAGAAATTGTACCTCTTGACAGTATCTTCAGCTTGTGCTAGATTTCTACCCTTTCTGATGCTGCCCTTTGATTGCACACTGGCCTTGACAGTCTTGTAAGCCAATTCCTACAATAATTCCTAGAAGATGTCTCCTTCTGGTTCTGCCGCTCTGGTTGAAACTTTGACAAAGGGGATTTTATGCAGGGAAGTAGGGTGCGGCCAAAAGAAAAAAAAAAGTGTAGCTGGATTTTGAGTTGAATAATGGATACAGGATAGAAGTATCTTTTTAAGTGTACGTAGAAAAACCCAGATTGTTTTTAACGGAATATCCACGGAGACACTTCTGGTGAGGTCTCAGACAGTAAGTAGAGTAGGAGCATGCTATTAGGGATAAGAAAAAAGGTGCCGCTGGTTCATAGTAGCAGAAAACAGCTGAATTGTGTCCTGTAGTTAGTGGAAAACAAAATGTGTGAGTGATCACTATGGATAGAAATTTCCAAGCAAAATGTTAAAAGGTGAATTTTGATTTCTTTTTTTGTGTATACAGCATAATATGATAAAAAATGAGAAATTGATGATTTGAGGGATCTTCCATCCGTATAAATAAAAAAGATGCTAACATTAAGAGACTGTTAGCAAAATGCACTCTGAAGGCCATGTGAATGTCGAACCATACTGTTGTCAATGATGTTGAGATTAGGTTTATGTCTCCGATATCAGTAAAAGTCAGGAAAAGAGAAAAGATTATCTGGGAGAGGTCTACACAAGATGCACTTGGACTGTCTTGTGGGATGAATCCCTGTGATACACACAGGGGACTCACAAAGTTTTTGAGAATGTTATATCAACAGAAATATTGCCAGCATGGATTGAAAACGATGGAAACATAACAGAATATAAGAAGGCTTTTGGATTTGCAGCATTCTACAGGAAGGAACAGGCTGATAAAATTGCTGAGTTGCAAACATGCATTGCTCCTAGAGAAAAAAGAAAGAGGTCTGAGACTTGGACTCAGAGGCCAGGCTATAGGGCCAGAAGACGGAGCAGTACACTCTGAAGGTACAGATATGAGCCCCAGAGAATTATTCCTAGGACGTGTAGAGTAATAGAATTTGCTCTGCTGGATTTTGACAGCTCTTAGAACTGATAAGCTCTTTCTTCCTTCCATTGTGTCTTCTTTGTAATAGTAGTTAATCTATATGTATCTCATGATTGAATTTTTCCATTTTCACAGGGCCACCGATGGGGAGTAATCCAGCCTCAGGGTATCATACCCAGAGTGTCACTTATATCTGAGTTAGATGATGAAATTTGGGACTTCTGGGGTTAACAACAGTTAGATGAGATTTGGGGCATGAGGTGATACTATTGCAGGCTGAGACTTTGGGGATGAGGTCAACATATTTTTTATGTGGAACAGGCATGAATCAATGAGTGGCAAAGTGTTGGCTAACTGATATGTTGAATACCTCGAAAGCTATCCACATCCTAATACCTTAAATCTGTGGATATTATCTTATATAGGGGAGAAGCAATCCTTGCAGACATAATTGGTAAAGACTTTGAGATGAGGACATTGTTAAGAGGGCCCTCAATGCATAACATGTGTTCATTAAGAGGAAGACAGAAGGAGATCTGTTTGCATATAGAGGAGAACAGGATATGAAGATGGAGCAGAACAAGATACGAAAATGCTGTGCCCTGAAAACGAGAGGGAGGTAGCTACAAGCCCAGAATCCTGGATGCCACTGGAAGCTGGGAGAGGCAAGGAGCTGTTTCTCTTCTGGAGCTCCTAAAGAGGGTGGGACCCTCCACACACCCTGGCTTCAGTTAATAACATAGATTTTGGACTTTTAGGCTCCAGAACTGTGAGAGACTAAATTTCTCTTTTTTGCAAGCCATCAAGGCCGTGCTGATTTGTGACAGCAGCCAAATAAGACAGTGCAGATCTTACAGTTAGAAATTGACCTGTGGAAGTGTTCAGATCCTGCTAACTCCAAGATAAGCATGGCAACAATGATGACAGAAAATACAAAGGCGTGGGAACCATTCTATGGATAGAGAAGGCTGAAAGGATCTATAGGGAAAAGAGTGTGAGGGAGAAACAGAGGCATGCAATGGCCAGCATGTCCTGAGATGATGGGTTCACATGAGGAGTCAGATTTGTGGTGTTGAAAACAGGGAAAACAAAGCTGATAATGACCAAGAGATAAAATGTTAGAGCAGGCCTGCACCTAGAGAGTATCCTAGTGATTTTCAAACTGTGCTTTATGTGAGACATGGAGAACTATAAATATATGGGATATATCTGATCTATATATCTGATCTAGGCTGCTTTTCCCACCACCCCATTTTACAGTACTGAAAAAGGAAATAGAGACTTGACAATAAAACATGGGTAGAAGCAAAGACAGCAGTTTATCAAGATAGTTAAAGCAAGGGCATTAGCATCTGATAGGCTTCGATTCAAAGGAGGTGACTCCACTCACTCATTGATACATTCCTGAACCTTTCTGAGTTTGATGTAACCAATAGAGATAAAAGCATTTGCCTCACCCAATTGTTGCATTTAACTAATATTTGCCACACACCTACACAGTTCCTCTACTTAAGTAAATGCTGAATAACAGTAAGTCATCAGGTGGAAAAAGTCTGGATTACAACCTAGTATTTCTTATCTTTAATTCTTTATATTATGGTTAGAAAAAATCAGGTTCCACTCACAATATGAAGTCCCTGCATGACATTCCAAAGATTTTAAACTTTATAACATGAATTGGAATAGACAGAATGCTTTTAAAGTATGGAATAGCATAACTTTGTGTTCTGGACAAAATTATGATCTGGTAGCAGAAAGAAATGAACAGAGATAAGAGAGGAGGAAGTCAGTTTGGAATGTGCTTCAGGGGGGTCCAGGGACAAGATACGAAGTCCCTGAAGATGGATGGTGCAAGAAGCACTTTTCAGAGACTGTGCCTTTTTGATATGACGCTATTTTTGAGGAGGGAGAGCAGTGGCCAGGCACGTAAGATTGCATGGTGGCAGGACAATATTGCATGCATGTGGCAAAGAGCTGGGAGTGACCTAATTATACACAGTTCTTCCAGAAGAGACATCTGAGCTTGGCATCTCTTCTGAAGGTGCTGGTTATGAAATGTCATAGTGTTCAATGTCTGAAATGTACACAATTTTTACAAAGCCTGCCTTTCATGATTCTTAATGAACCCATCCACCAGCTGCATAGGTTTTTTTTCAAGAGCCACACACCCTGCAATCCTATGCAGAGACTGGCTAGCAGAAAATACGATCCTCGTCCCCTTTTCCCATGACAGCATAAACAACTGCAGTGTTCACACTTTAGCACATGTGCACTCTTGCAGGTGTGACAATGGGTCCATGATACTGAGCAAGATTTCTCAGCTAAGCAGAAATTCTGATACAATTTTCAGTGAACCATGTTCTGCAAAACTAATGACAGGTGGTGCTTTTACGTGATGGTCATCCATTTAAAATAGTGAGATATGATGTTCTGACTCATGACCCAAAGCAGAGTTCACTTAAGCTGTCTTCTCTACGGAAAGTACAGCTCTTGGCCTGAAGGAAGATGAAATGCAAGGGAATCACGGGGCTGGAGGGATACAGATTTGTTACTCTTCTTTGCTCCTCTAGCTATTTTCAGGTTTGTTTCTTGCACTGTGTGATCCAGGGATTTAGTGAGGCTCATTTTAAATCATCCAAAATCTGTGGCTTCAAATCCTTTCCGTTAAAAATGTTGCATCATTGTAGGAGGCCTCATCATTAAGTCTCCCTTCCTGACAGTCGGCTTGAATATATCCTCCCTCAGATCTCTCTCATTATTCATTCTTGCACTTCTTTGGATAATGAATAACTATATTTGATAACTAGATGGTGTTTCCACTTGTACAACTTGTATCTAACCTAACTGCAATTTAGCAAAGTTACGAACACATATATATTCTAACCCAAGGTCCACTGGCTTTTAAACCCCAAAATATATGCATGAATATTTATTTGTCTTCTGGAGAAAGATCACTTTTACCATATTTTTGAGATGATGTGTCATTTAGGAAATACTCTTTTACTTTTTGTATGTGTAGAAATAATCTCTCCCTTTCCTTCATCTTCTTTTCTTTTTCTCTCATATTCCTCTTCCTTGTGCCCTTCTACCCTCTCTTCTCTTCCTCCTCCACTTTTCCAACATGATTTATCCCCTCGATTTCCATGTTTTAGTTAGCTTTTAAAGTGGATTGACTGGGGCCTGTAGTGTGCTGGACAGAGCAGTCTACTCTTCAAACTTACCCTGCTTCTAAGTTCTGCTGAGTGGGCTCTAATGGTCTCTGACTTCTTACAGAAAAGACATGAAGTTTGGAGACAAGGAAGACGGTGAGATGGTATGGTTTATTATCAGCTCTGTTTGTCCCTATTTTGGTTTTTGCTAACATAGGTGAAGTGGGAGTATGAATCACACAAGAGGATTACTTATTGTGTATCCCTCTCTAGACAAAGCCCAGGAAGGCAGAAGAAAGGACATTTTAATTTCTTGTCTGCTCTGGCCTCTAGGAAATTGAGCCAATAATCAAGTAGTACCTGGACAAATGGCAGTTCCATCTCCATCCTTACAGTATTAAAATCATGTCAAAAGACAAAGTCCAGCTCAGTAATACCTGAATAACTAGGGCACAGACAGTGTGCGAAGACACTGGCTTCCATTAGTTTATTAGGCTCTTTGGGATTGTTATATCTATGAACAAAATACTGCAGAGTTGGGATTCACCAGTGCTTCAACCGTTTATTAGCTGCTTCACCTTTGCCATCTATTGGCTTCCACCCCCAAATGACAGAAGGAGAAAGTCTTAAACAATGGTTTTTCAGTCTTCCCATGTCCAGCCCTTTGGAATGGGGATACTTGTGGAAGAATCTTAGACTTTCTGATTCACCTCTGATGTTCTAACTCTCAGGCTTTGCCAACCTCCAAATGAAGGCTTCTCTGTAAGCACATTTTGCACCTCTTACTGACTGAATTTTATGTCCTCCTTTTCCTATGTTGAAACTCAGTCCTCAAAAGAAGGATATTTGGAGGTGAGAACTTTGAAGGGTGATGAGGTCTCAGGGCACCCAGAATGGAGGGGAGACCTGTCTAGCCCCTTTTCCCATATGAGAACACAGGGAGAAGACCACCGTCTGCAATCAAGGAAGCAAACTCTCCAAACAGAATCTCCTAGCACACTTATCTCAGGCCTTTCAGAATTCAAAACTGTGAGAAATAAGTGTCTATGATTTGAATGGCATTTTATAACAGCAGCTCAAACAGAATAAGACACATATCCTTACCTTTTCTTCAAGTCCCCCAGCATTACTTTCCAAAGCCCAGTACAACCTGCCTAGTATTTGTCCCCACAAATACCCCTAGCAACTGAGAGCATTGGCCTTCTGTTTCTTGTATAATTCACTCCATGGAGTTTTTCCTATTCAATAAAGGACTTCATTTCTATTGACTTGCAAAGACCACACACTTCAAGTGCAGCCAAAACAAATCAATGTCACATGGGCCAAATAAATCCTCCTAACTACTGAAAAGAGCTAATGATTCTGAAATCTTCTCACTATCTACATGTTGGTTAGGGTTCATTACATCCTATGTGATGGCAAGAATATCCACAAGACTGAAGTGCTACGCGAAATTCATATGGACAAAATACAGTTTCGAGAGGGAGAATTTTTGAAAGATTCTCTTCATTGTAAATGTTTCTGGCACCACTATTTACTCCTCTAAAACATGGCCTGCTCTTCAGCAATATTCTTGAGCAACGTAATCCTTAAGAAAAGTTATTCTTACAAAATCGAAAGCTGACAGTCAGGACCAGATCATTAAAGCAGTTACTGTGACATGAGTTGGAGGGATATTTACTTTGGAACTTGATGGGACAGCAGCTGCCAAAGCTATTCTTGGTTGTGGTTGCACGACTAGCCCCTCACTCCCCCAAGCTCAAATATATACCAACAAGCAGATAAAATGATTATGTGACACTGCTCCTCTTTCATTCTCTGCTAGAACCTATTGAGATAGGTTTACCTTTACTGACCTAAGGGTAATTTTTTTTGCACCTGGGTGGTAAATTACTTCCAGCTGAGGCAAAAACCAGATGGCCTCAACTTTCCTGGAGTTGATTAAAATTATTGTACCTGCTTTAGAAATCCACCAATCAAACACCAGGGTTTGATTTACCATGGTAACGTCTCAGCCAGTGGCTTCTGCACGGTTAGTGGAAGATGTTGAATCTACCAATTAAAACTAGCAAACGATACCCCCTGTCTGATACACAGGCACTTACATCACTTCATCCTGAGTGCTTGCACAGAGCCAGCTGCTGTTGAACAAAAGGAAAATTTTTTAAAATCTTTAAAAAATGGAGCTCCTGCTTGGTGACATATAGAATAATAATGCAAGTCTGTAGTCCTCCTGGCACAATCTACCACCACACAAATACAGAAGATGCTTGAACTGTGTAATTGCCTGAAGTCTCAAGGGACATTCATGTGCACTTGGCAAGGATTACCAAGAACAGAGAAGGAGAACAATTTTCCCACTTACGAGGTATCAAATGTCTCCTAAGTTAGGCATATGAATTCAACACTCTGTTATTATCAGCTACTATTAGATCACCATGCATTTTCACTCTCTGGCTTATAATCCAATAGGATTCAATTTATTTCTGTTCAATTCAATTCAATTCAACCTAATTCAATTTAATTCAACACATTCATTAGCCACAAACTCTATTAGGTATATAGGCTGGTATGAAAAATAGTTAAAAACAACACTTCCCCCAAAAGAACTAAAAATAATTTATCAGCCAGAGTTTGAGGGACCTCTATAATGCAACATGAAGGATGCTAAATATCAGTGGATGTAACACCTGAGATGTTGATGAGGACATTATGATGACTTTGATATATTGGCCCTTCTATTAAAATATATAAAAATGTATGCCAAGGCTAAGCAATATATTATGTATGACAAAAAGTAGCTGATACTACCATGAGATGATTTACTTTTATATTTATTTGCTTCTTTGATTATGAACTTAGCTCAAAATGCATGACTATTTTGATTTTTGAATTAAAATTGCAACTAGAATGGGTATTTTGGGGAGACAAAGGAAAAGAAACAGGAAAAAATTTGTACTGCAGCAGGATCACATCTTCAATGAGCATTAACAGTAAAACAAACAAAAATCTAGTAGCACTTTAGTGTACATTCAAAAAATGCCATTTTAAAATCACTTAGATCTTCATTATTTTTCAACACAGCAAGAGTGTTTGCTTTTGCAGATGCTCAAACACAAATATATTCATTCAGACCAATAAAAATAGCAATAGTTTGCAGTTATGACCACTAACACCATTTGTAGACATGTAAAATCAAAAAAGATTAATCACATCATATGAAGTAGGCAATACACTGATTTCTAAATTATTCTGCAACCTCAGGTTTAGAGCCTCATCTAAACAAAACACCAGCAGCCTGCAACTGCACAGAGGTGGTAATTCCTAAAGAAATTCAATGTGGTGCATTATCTGTGACTACAAGTCAAAATCTGCCTTTGCTTCCCTGTGAGCATTTTCTACAAATAACATATGATATAGTAAAATATTTTGTTTTCTGTATAATCCGTTTAGTTGTTTATCAGTAGTAAAAAGCTATTTCTAACCCTCTATATCGGTAGAGAAGAGTAGATAAAAAATTTCATTTCCTCTCATTGACTCTGTTCTGTTAGATGGGGGCACAATCATCATCCATAGGACATTAGCATTTGGAATTCAGGAAGTCTTTCTCCTAAGGTAAAGTGGCTTAGGGAAACAAGAATTTGGAGGACAATATCAACTTTCTCTGTGCTTTCTTAGGTCATCTACCCTGAATGCACGAGGTAAAATAAGTCTTCCACATAGTTCCACTGCTAATCCCCTAACAGGCCAGAAGCCTATAGTAAGACACAAAGTAGAAATAATGTCAGAGCAGAGAGCCCCAGGTGCTGGATGTATTGTAACTCTGGGAGAAAGTTGAATGCCAAGGTGTAGTTGTCATGAAAGGTACTGTTCCTGGGTATTGGCCTATGTGAGGAAGCTCTGCTGTATCTGAGAAGAAGAGAAAAATCCCTCCTCCTCCATCCATAGTTTAGAGCTATGGACCTTTCTAGGGGGAGTCTGAAGGAAGCTCTGAGGCTCCTGTTTTAGCCGTGTTGGAGAACTACGATATGCAGAGGATGAGACAGTCTGGCCTGGACAAAACATGTACCCACCTCTCCATGCTGCAGGGGACTCTCTTGAGAACCAGAGGAGAAAAAGCACTATTGTGCAGCTCAGATCCTGGCTGGGGCATGAAACTGGAATCAGTGGGATGTAAAAGGGGATTCAAAAGGCGAGGATCCTTAACATGAATATCCCAAAGAAGTAAATAACCTCTCAGGCTGAAGTTCATAAGGTGAACTGAAGGGCTCAGAAATGGAGTCCTGCAGGGAGGGCTCACAAAGGACAGGTCCTGAGTCTTATTAGGGTGACTGGTTTTGTAGACATCAACCAGGCCTGGAAGTGATGCTCAGATTGTCAACTGATAGAACTGATAGCCATAGGATCTGCCTTTTAGTCCAGCCAGTGCCCCCTAGAAGCTGGGAAAGCTACTTAATGACACTGGCCTCAGTTCTCCACTTTAAGAATGAGCAAGTAAAACAACCAGTATATAATGCCTGCAGCCTTTTCCTGCCCTGCCCATACTGCTCTACAATTGGAGAAAGGGCAGGCACCTGAATCCCTGTTGTTTAGAGGCTGGAAATGTGCAATCAAGCTTTCATCTTCAGTGGAGGCCAGGCTCTCAAGAGGGGTCATTGCCAAGCCTCTAGCCATGAAGACAAGAGGGAGGGAAGCCCTATTTCCTTAGGCAGTTGTACTGTATAAGACCCACTCAAGCCTATAAAAATGCAAGTACTGGACAAGGGCCAGTGAACAACCAGGAGGTAAACTGGAGGTCAAGAGAATGAGAAAAAATGAGGACAGCGATAGAAAGAGAAATGGAAAGGGGTAGAGAGTGTCAGACCTGGTGGGAGGGGAGTATTTATGTGTTATTGCTAAGGCAAAAAGCACACCTAATCTTTTTCATTATTCCTGCACCTCACATTTTAAAAACATCTCATATGAATTGTGAGGAATACTGGCTTAATCCCACACAGTATGATGTGGAGCTGGTGTCCTCTGCTCACACTGCCTTCTCCCTGTGAAATTCATAGATTGTGCATATATGATATAGTACTAAGGAAATGACTCAGCTCCCATTTTACAGCATTCTTGGTTTGGCCAGGCTCTGGAAATCAGCATGACACAGACTCAGGAAAGGAGACAATATCCTGTTGTTATAGCTTCGATCAAGAATGTCCCCCAAAGGCCTCATGTGCTACTAGGTGGGACTTTTAGAAGGTAATGCAATAATGCAGGCAATATAGCTGAGTTGCTGTTAAGAAGTAAGGCTTAGCTGAGAAAGGTGAGTCATTATGGGCATGACCTGAAAGGGGTATATCTCCCTCCCCAGTTTCTCCCTTTTCTCTCTGCTTCCTGGTCACCATGATGTGAACAGCTTTCCTTCACAATGACCTACTGATGTGCCATTTTCTGCCTTAGAGCCAACCAACTGTGAATTGGAACCAGGAGCTAAAATAAATCTCTCCTCCTTTAAGTTATATGTGTCTAGTATTGTGTCTTAGCTATAAGAAAGAGACTAATACCGAATAGTTTCTCTGGTGTGAATAAACTGTAATAGTACATAAGATCCTAATGAAATAACTGACATTGTGAAATGGGAAGAAAAGGGCTAAAGGTGTAGGGAAAGTGGGAAGGGTAGGGGAAAGGTAATAAGGGAAAAATATGAGAAAATGAAAAAGTGGATATAAAGTGTTTGTAAATGGGGAGGGGAGGAGGGGGTGAAAGGAGGGAAGGGACAAGGGGAAAAAATGAGAACAAAGACCACCTGTCATGTAAAGGTACAAGATCCCAATGAATGTAACTGTACTGTATACCTAAAATGTACCAATAAACTCAATAAAAGGAAAAAAAAAGGAAAGAATAACACCCCCCAAAAAAAGGAAAAGAAAGTGACTAAAATACTTGTGGTAGATGGAAGGCAGCAAGTCTCTTTTCTTGACTCAATCTTCTAACCTAATCAGGTCCATGAAGTGAGGGAAATATACTAGCAACAAGAACTTGAATAATCTGTGAATGATATGAACCAGAAAGAAGTAACCACATCAAGAGGCAATGCCAAGTGGTAGATGAGAGTCTAGGGAAGTCAGAAGCAATATGGTATGAGTTATCCCATTGCAGTAGGAACAGTCAAACACGCTAAATCTCTACAACAATGAGCAGCAAGATGTAGCTTGTTTGACTTAAAACTAGAAGACAGAGATTGAATCCAATATGAGGTGCAGAGCTGCAGAGGCAGATGACATTGAGGGGATTAAAAACCCACCACAGTCAAAACCAGGTGCACTCTCTCATAGTGAGGCAGGAGATTTGGGCATGGCAGGCTGGCTGAACAACAGAATGTATGAAGAGAATGGAGGCTGGGGAAACGGTACGACCTGTCAATTACAAAGAACTGAAAGAAAGGCTGGGGAACTGGGCATGTCCTGTCATTCATAAGAAATTGTCAGATCAGTTTGTGGACACATATGCAGACCAACTTCCAACTAACCAGATCTGAAAAGATATAAAAGATGGTGATTGTGTTAATTATTTTTCTCTCGTTGCTGAGACAAAATACCTGACACCCAAAGTTAAAGAGCAAAAGGTTTATTTGGCTTACATTTCCAAGAGGTTTCAGTCCATAATTGGCTGGCTCCAAGGCAAGATGGCAGAGGGACAACAGATCATGGCAATGGAAGACAACAGAAACAACAAGAGAATTTAACAGTGTCTTTCTGTCTCTTTTATCTTATTCAGACTACTTAGGGCATGTAGCACTCACGCCTTTAATCCCAGTGTACTAGGGACTAACCCCACTATGAATCAATCACATGCTCTAGATTCAGCCAGTTTTGAAAAAGCATGACATTTCGAGGAGTCTTCTAAATACAAGCCATAACAGTGATCATTGACTTTAGGGCCACTGCTGTCCTCTTGTTCTGCTATCTTCCTGCTTTTGCATTGGCCAGTCCTATGTGTGAGATGCATTTTCACTTTCCTTGCCTCTTTTTGGATTTCTCTTCTTCATTTTTTTCTCCTCTTGCTTCTCTTTCCTTAAATAAATTACATATATATGTATATATATTTGCATTCATAATCTCTTCTGGCCAGTTCTTTGGCCTGGACAGAAAAAAGCCTG